CCCCCGCTTTCCCCTTGGCTGCTCCGGCCGTGACATATCAAACCTGCTTGAATCAAACTTTTGTAAGGCCTCCGTCATCTCCCCCAGCCTTTCCTTCACCACCCCAGGCTTTTATAAGGTCATCAACTACCTTCCCCGTGACACGCCAGGTCTTCCGAACGCCATCCACCGCCTTCCCCGTGCAACCCCAAACCTTTCCTATGCCAACTGCCGCCTTCCCCGAGCCATCACAAGCCTATTCTGTGCCAACCGCGGCCTTCCATTTGCAACCCCAAACTTTCCCTATGCCCACCCCCCACTTACCCGTGCGACACACTGCTTTTCCGTTGAGGCCAAATCAAGCTATGTCACAGCAATACACCGGCACCGGGCATGGTCCGCTGGCACGCACGAACCAGCAAACACATAGGACTTTTCCAACTACGCAAGAATTGCTCCAATTAAAAATAAAATCTAAGGGCCCGAGTAACTTCTGCGTTTTGCTAATGGGAAGGATTTATTCCAAAGAAGAACGTCTAGACCCAACAAGGAACATGGGGGGCTCCATGACAACGCAGTATAAGAAAAGGCCTATTTGCACAAAAAGACTGGACTACATCAAAAGCAGCGTGCACAAAATGTTCCCTTCTATAATGAGCGAGGAGCTTTGGAGACGATGTCTCTCGGGAATGAACTCTGCAAATAGAAACTTAAGATGTACGCAAAAGACCAACTTATAGGAAAACTTACCCGTCTAAGGATTATTTGATATAAATTTGACATTCATACGATTTTTAATTTTTCTATGATGCAAAAGAAAGCTTCTTCACTCTTTAATAACTGTGTAGGACAAAGCAATTTTATAGCAAAGTTATTTAAAAAGCTGCTATCTCTCCAAGAAAAACTGCTTTTATGCATTTGATTGTTTCATTGATTACAAGTGTCGTTCTTTTTTTTCATTAGAAATGCATAATTATATCTGTTTCAACCTTCTTGTGTGACTATGTAATTAACAATTAGTTTTTATTTTTTTATATTTCACAATGTAAGGAATAATATAAGAAGTAGTGTGCAGCTATTAAAATGAGTATAATAAATATGTTTATTACCCATGAACTGAAAGCCAAAGTAGTGTCCTTTGCACAAATATCCGTTATTTGTTAATATGCGCGCGCCAATTATGTCCTAATCCACACAATTTCCTTCGTTAAAAAATCAGCGATATATTTAACAACAAAATTTGTAAATCTATAGATACGATTCGGAAGAATTTGTAGTTTCAAATACTACAAAGGTTTTATTTTTACAATATAATTGTCATAAGATTTCCTGATTTAATGCACACATACGAACGGGAAAGGTGCATGATTGAAATAAGTTGGCCAGTGATCGCTTAATACGTGTAACAACATTGCAATAGTCTCAAAGATTTGCAACGGAGATACGAATGAAAATGGCACGAGTCTAAAATAAGGCACAGATAGACGACAATCCTGACAGATAATGACGGCCATTAGCAGTTGTCTAAATACCCCTAATTAAGTGAGGTGCTCCTACAACTGTGCCAAGTACTTGCTGGGAAGGGGCGGGTACTACCTTTGTCTGTGTGTAATCACGCACTATCTTTATACATTCTACTGATAAAGTTTCTCGCCAGCTTTGTC